CCCCTCCGCCGTCTAGACCCACCTACGTTCAGTACGCGTTCAATTCGCGTCATAGTGCTTCTGCAGGTTTCCCAAATGAAATGCAGAGCGTCTTCATCCGTGATAACCACTGCTAGTATTCGGATGTGCTATAGAGGGCGTTTCCGGTGTTCGAAAAAGAACAATGGCCTTTAGCTGCCTTTTGTCTATTCTTCTGATGGTCATCCAGAAAATGACCAGAGCGATGGAGCTGATTATATTCCAAGTGGACAGACCCGCACACCCAGAAGAGTGATCACTGGTGATCCAGGTCAGCTGCGCGAGCACTCGCCATCCCTCAATGCCAGATTGCAAGCATAATGAGGGAGAAACTGACGCACTTCCCCTCCCCCCCCTCTCCTTTCCCCTGCCCGGCCTCCTCGCCATGTCCCGAATGTCCACCTCCACCAACCAGCTCGAAAGCAAAGTTCGAAAGTTCAGACACTCGTCCGAACAGCCTTTTACCCATTAAACGAATATTTGAAATGACCGGGGGTGATTTGGCGGCAATTACTCACCAAAGGCGTGCTGAACATGCGTGTGGTAGGGTACTTCCGGCTACTCTTTAGGTGCTGCTTGAGTCACGTTGTTCTGTTGCTGTGATCAGCTGCTGTTTCACTGTGGTTTTTGTGACCACTACTGACCCGCAAAAAAAAACAAGCGCTGGGATAGGCTTTCTGCTTATCCTGAAACTGCATTCCCATCCTTGTTTGCAAATTCCCCTTAAAATTTCAGCTTTCTAGCTTTTCTGATTCCCGAGTCAGCAACTTACCAGCTAAAAAATTTCACCGGTCCGTACATGGGGACCACGCAAAAACCTGGTCTGAACTCATTAAGTCCTACTTGAACGGGGAACATCCCTTTAAAATGCTACTAGCCCAGCTGCATTCGGCGTGTGCGAGCATCCTACTAACACCGCTAACAGGGGAATCTCACACTGATGGTCCGCAAGTATTTGTTATCAAGTGCTGTAGAAATTTTAGAGATACAAACAATGAATGTGTTCCTAGCTGTGAGCTACTGGAAGAGGACAGGGGCATGAAATTGCGTCTATGCGTTAACACATATGCAGTTTGTTTGGGTAGTGCCATTTAGAGATCTCCCATATAGGCAAGCCTGTATGTACAGTGAATTGATCAAGTTCAGTTTAAGCTGGGAAGTGCACATCGATCCACTCATACCATAGTGCTCCAGCACAGTCACTCTTAACTCACGTTGCTTCTGGTGG